TTGTTCCAAGTAGGTGCTTTAGACCACTGAGCCATCTCACCAGCCCCGGAATATAGTCTTAATATTGATTCTTTTAATAAAACTGTTTCAAGCAGTTTTGAAAATTGTTTTCAAATTTATCTTTCTTTATGGTTGAGTAGTACTCCATTATAAAAAAACCTACATCTTTATCCATTTGTCAGTCTGTAGGCATTCAGGCTATTTTCGTGATGTAGCTTTTCACAGTACGATGCCATATACAGGCATGTACAAATATTGCTATGGTAGGATGTTTTCAAATTTTTTTTGAAGATATAAAAAAGGAAAATATCTATGTCAAATGGAGCCTATAGTCTTGGATAGGTTATAGTCCTCTACTGCTGTAGTTATACTAGAACTACTGTGATAAAATCATTATAGTACTGGCAAAGAACCTGATCAGGGGATCAATGGAACAGATTAGAAGATGCAGAAACACTTCAAACACACTCAGACACTTTATCTTTAACAAAAGGGGAAAGTATGTTCACAGGAAGAAAGATATCATCCTTAATAAATAGTGCTTGTAAACTGGTTTTTCATACGATGAAGATTAAAAGTTTTCAATGGCTTGCTTTGAAATCAACTTCTTCATTTCTGACTGTGAGTTCAAAGTATCAGCTGAAAAGGTACAGGTTAAATATTTTACTCACCACATTCACTTATGTGTAGAGAAAGGGTTTTAAAAAATATGATCCTTTTATTTTATATACTATTGGTATTTTCTTAAATATAGTGCTTTTAAAAGTTATTCTTAAATTTATGTAATATCAGAATTTTCTTAAATATATGACTTTTATAAATTGCTATTTTTACATAATATTGGGGTTTTCTTGCTTGTATAGAATATATTTTGATTATTCTATCCTCCTTATAATTTCTTTTATAGCTGTAGGATATAATTTTAGAAAGTCATACTTTACATATTTCATTACTTACAAGACATGGTGATTTCACCTCAAGTTGTTCAATTATGGTATTTTCCCCTGAGAGTATGTTACTACAAAACCTGTCCTTCTGGAACTTCTAGAGGTGGAGTCTACCACCAGTATGACTACAGTCCCTAAGAGTTTAATTAAAGAATCTCGGCCTTTGAGATGTGGTGACTGAATAGATTCAACAACGTGTGCTATGGTTCCAATACAAAGTGTTCACAGATCTTTGTTTTTGCCTCAGAGAGCCTGTAAAGACTGGTACTCATATGACTGCTTCCATAGGAATTGCAATGACAGATGCAAAGCGTGGTAGGATAACGATTAAATATTTATGCATCCTTTAGTCAGCATTATTAACACTTTTTTTTTGATACCAGGGATCAAACTCAAGGCCTTCTACTTGCCAGGCAAATGTTTATATCGCTGAGATATCTCCCGAGCCTTAGTCAACATTTAATATATACATGCTGTATGTAGCCAAACCAGTGTACCTGATTGAAATGGAAAATATTTTAAAGGATCTTTCATTATTTCACTGTCAGTGAATAAAACATAAATTGCAAATCTGCATCTTAACAATTCATGATTCTTTGTTCCAAAAATTCAGGATCATTATCCTTAACAATTCTTCGTTAATATTTTTTTGTTGCTAGGGCAAGTTTTACTAATTTTGTTGATTTGGAATTTTTTCATTTGTGATCAAGTTTAAGACTTCTTCATGCTATAAGGGAGGCTTGGTATTGATTTGATAAATTGAAAAAAATTGACTAATGTTTCTTGAGCATTTTGATGAATCAACCTTCTTGAAAGCATGGGAAAAATTGGAATGGAAACATCGCAAGTTGCTATGGTAGTGCATGCATGATTTTAATTTTGCTCTCTGTATTTCTAGAGATGCTATGCATATTTGAAGCTGTGCCAGTTCAGGACCAAGGAGAGAGCACCAAAACCTAAAATTCGGGGAGAATGACTGTGCTTTACGCAGGTAATCTATGAGGAGAAATTATTTGTAAGACTCTGAGCTAAGCTTTAATGTTAAGTACAGTAATTTGGTGATATAAAACCATAAACTTATAGAAGCTTTGTGTGATTATGATGATTACATTATGAGGTCCTTTGTGGTAGCCAAAATGTATGTACCTTGCTTCTAGATCTTAATACTCTTCTTGGATACTTTGATATTATAAAAAATCCTAGGAGAAATATTTTTACATATGGTTCTTAAATAGGTTTAATGCTGTATATGAACATAAGTTTTTTTCTAGATAAGTTTACTTTCTCTAACATCAATATTCTTACATTCTCATTTAATGTGTAAGTTTTTGAGAGATTTTTGTTGTACAGGTGTTTGTTCATTTTAAACAAAGCCATCAAAAATTTTCTTCTAGATTGTTAAAAATTGGTGGAGTATCTGTAGTGACTTTAGAATGATTAAAGAATCTAGTTTAATATTTGAGTAATCAAGCTGTTCCTGTAGTGAATCATAATGTGGATCAGATCAAAATAGAACTCTAGTTGACCACTTGACTTAATAAATAGAAGGATGTTGTGCAATTGAGCGGGAATGATTGTTTAAAAGCATTGTAAGGTCAAAGGATAGATTATTTAGTGTGGTGGAATGCTGCATGTATGTGTTAACAGAATAGTGTGTGCAATGGAGGAAATTTCTTGGTGTAGAAAATGGTAGAGGAAATTGGGGGAGCTATGTTCTGAGGAATTATAAAGAAATGAGATCTTCTGCATGAACATAGAAACAGGACAGTGCTAGGGAGACAGGGAAACCATGTTTATGAAAGAAATTTATGAAGTCAGAGTGAAGTAAGAATTAATAGAGACCTAGCGAAAAATTGCCATCACTAGAATAATTTTAAGGGGAAACTAGCCTAGTGGATATCAATCCTGCATATGGTGATGTTTTCTTTCTTTGTGGTAAATCTTTGTTGCCTGTTCCTGCTCTGCTCCTTCTCCCTCTCTTACACCTTTACAATCCTCTTCTCCCCTCTCTCACACCTACCTCTCACTTCCCCTTTTTCTTTCTCCTTTTCTCTTCTTTCCTCCCTCTCACTCTCCTCACCTTCCTTTCTCTCTCTTTCTATTCTTTTTTCTTCTTTCCTTTGCCATTCTTCCCTCCTGTCATTTCAATATTTTACATGCAATCCCTGGCTTCTGCCTACACAAATACTAAAAATTTCACCCATGTACACAACAAAACACGTCCTTCCATATTCCCCATGCTCATATGACCCCATATATTTATGAGTGCATACATATGTGATTTTTTATCTGATAATATCATTTGTATATAGTTTTGTGCTTATTTCTTATTTTACTGTAACTTGTGGAAGTTATCTGAATACAGTATTGATATTATTGTAATTGGTTCTTTTAAATGTCTATTTTCAATTTCATAGGTTTTTATTCTATTCAACAATTGTCTCTCTTAGCATCCACCTTAAATTTATTTTGATGTTTTGGTTTAAGACCATTATAAATAATGTCACAAACCCTCCTGTACATATGTTCTTCTGTACTATGGCTTTAATATCTTCTTTTTATTCCAGGAATTGAATCCAGGGCCTCATGCTTGCCAGAAAGGTGCTGCATGACTGAGTTATATCCTCAGTCATAGTCTTTAATAACTATGCGGTAGATTTCCAGTGATACAGTTGTGATAAAATGTATATGTCATTTTATTTCCAAAAGAGATAAGAAAAATTATGCTCCAAAAATTTATAAAATCTCATTGCAAGATTTTATATATTACTGTTATATACAAATGTAATATATAGGTATATAAATATGAGATGTGATATTTTATATATTACTAATTGTTTAAGTTCACCAGTTTTAAAGTATAACATATATGACATATCCAGTTTCCCTCATTATGCGTTTTTTTTTTTTTTTCAGTAGCAGGGATTGAATTCAGGACCCTGTGCTTGCCAGGAATTTTGCCTTTTCTGTTCATAGGTGAACTTATGCACTCTATCCCACCTTTATGGCCAGTTTGCATGTACTTATCCTTTAGTTCTTCATTTGTATTATTTATCAATTAGCTATTGGTTTGTCTTTTCTTAATTTCTTAAAGAGATTTTATACATTTTAGGTACTAACTTTATTTTATCTAATTTTAAGTAGTTTTGCAAACTATTTTTGTTTATTTTATTTAAATATCATTACCCACAGTGTTAAAACCTGTTGACGTTTAAATATGATTGAGATTTTTATTATTAGTTGGTTAGACTCTTCTGATTTAGGAGTGCAGTCATTTCTCTTTATTACTTCATGTTTATATAAGTAAGTTTTAAACATAAAGTCTTTAATGTAGATTCATTTTATGATGAGTTATATATATATGTGAAGTATTTTTAGCTTGCAGATGAAATATCGATTGGAGTGGAGTAATTTTTTCCTTAATCAGTATTTTCTTCATGGTTTTAGTTTTTTTTAAATACCAGCCATATACAAAATATTTAAGGTTGAATTCATGCTTCTGTCAATCATATATATCTTAATAATATCAGATGGTTCTAAAGCATAATAAGTAATAATGCCTAATGATAAAATGACCAAATTATCCTAAAATTAAATGAGATTACAGGTAATAATCTTATGTGAAGATAATTTTGCTCTGAGCAGATACACAAGGACACAAATAAGGACGTATGGAACAAAGGAACAACGTGACTGAGTTTGTGCTCTTGGGGCTCACTCAGAGCCTCCAGGGTCAGAAAATATTATTTGCTGTGTTCCTGCTGGTCTATGTGTTGACAATGGCAGGAAACCTACTCATTGTCATCACCGTGGTGCTCAGCCCTGCCTTGGATTCTCCATTATTCTTCTTTCTTGGCTACTTATCATTTATGGATGCTGTTTATTCTAACACAGTTACTCCACATATGATGATAGACTTACTCCATGTAAGGAAAACCATTTCTTTCCAAGCTTGTATGACTCAGCTGTTTTTTGAACATTTCTTTGGTGGTGCTGAGATTTTACTCCTGGTTGTCATGGCTTATGATCGCTATGTGGCTATCTGCAAACCCCTGCATTATCTGACCATCATGAACCGACGGCTCTGTGTTCAGTTGTTGTTATTGGCTTGGGCTGGAGGTTTCATGCATGCTGTGTCCCACATTCTTTTCATTTACAGTCTTCCTTTCTGTGGCCCCAATGTCATTGATCACTTCATGTGTGACATGTATCCCTTATTAAAACTCATCTGTACAGACACCTACTTTATTGGCCTCACAGTGGTAACCAATGATGGTGTCATCTGTGTGGCCATCTTTACAACCTTGCTCATCTCTTATGGAGTCATTCTGCACTCCCTGAAGAACTTGAGTCAGGAAGGGAGACGCAAGGCCTTATCCACCTGTGGCTCCCACATCATGGTGGTTGTCCTCTTCTTTGTCCCTTGCATTTTTCTATATGTGAGGCCCCCTTCTACCTTGCCCATTGATAAATCCTTGACAGTGTTTAACACTGTTATCACTCCTATGTTGAATCCCCTTATCTATACTCTGAGAAATGCAGACATGAAAAATGCCATTACAAGGCTCTGGACTAGGAAACAACACAAATTAGGTATCAGGGAAATATATGTTCCAAGGAGCAATTTATGTTCCATGAATTGTTTCATGTTTAGGGGAAACCATGAGTGATTATTTCAATATAGTGAATTTTCCATCATGTTTGCTATTTGTGCACAATGGAGAATATTTATTATGTGGATTTTCCTAATAGTCAACATACATTTTACTGCCAGATTTGATAGGAAAACATATGATTGTTAGTGTAAAATGTTGCTGTTGAGTCTGTAGTTTTATGTAACATAATTAATATTGTAATTTTTACCTAATGAAAAATTTCATCTCTTACATAAAACTATTCTTTTTTTCTGAATTACTAACTGTCACAACATATGTTAAAATAATAAAATACAAAATAATATGTAAATGTATGATTCCTTCTTTCCTTCAGAAGTTCAGAAAATATTTATATGTAGTATACTTAAATTTTAGCTATATATCTTTGTGTTTGTAAGATGCTTTAAATATATGATTTTTTGTATATTTAGCATATTGTAATTGCATAGATGGAATGCTTAATTTTAATATTGATCATAGAGAGACAAGCATAAAGGAAGAAACTAAATGAACATACATGATAGAACATACATAAGTTTTTGTTATCCTCTGGAGTATAAAACTTATGAGCATCTCAGGTAGAGTAAAATTGCTCTCATATTTTCATAAAAAGATAATCTGGAAGAAAACCATCATGGCAAAATAGAGCTAACTGCATCAGACACACTGGAGGATGTTTGCCTGAGTATGCAGTGACTCAGGAGTGAGGAAGACTAGAATGCCCTGGTACTGGAAAGAAATGTGTTGAGCAAGCTCACTGGATGATATCATTCTCAGCAGCAATTGAAGAGGGAAGCAGGGTTTGGTATATAGTCACTTTGACAAATGTGATCTGGAGTAGAGTAGAAAAATAAAAGAGCATCACAGAGTAGGCCTAACACCACTGCCACACTACTACCCCAAGTGTTGGGCCTATGAAGTATTTTGTCCTAACCTTTTTCTTCCATATACCAAACTCCAGCGCTCCTTTAGGATACTTTCTGCTGTCCATTAAAGCCTACTAAACTAGGAGTCCAGCTTGAGCTCTTTACCTCTGGATTCTCCTGAATGCCAGGAAGAAATGTCCTTCTATTCTGAGCTCTAGACACCACTGAATTTGTGGGCTGAAGAGCGTATGCCAGGTGTAGATAGAGATAGAAGAATGTTTAGAGCATCAGAAAGAATCAGTGGGAATCAGTGAGAGTCACTGTGTCTCACCTGAGGTAGTGTGAAGAGGACAGATGCAAACAGCTTCAAGCACTACCTGAAAGGAAAAGGACAGGGAATGGAGAATCTCGCTAGAGATTAGTGTAGGTTCAGGTCCTCCACTGATCTCACTGTCTGCCCAATTTTGAAAGAAACACTTGGAGATGTTAGAAAGAAGGAAGAACATCCAGCTCCTGATATCCACCTGACACAGCTGAAACATAACAGAGCTCTGCCTAAAGAGGGAGCCAGAAACCTATTCCATTGTTCTAGGGAACACCCTTTATTTTTGTGCCACTGTGAGTTTTTCTGGCTGCTGTTTTTTCTTTTTCTTTTCACTTTTCATTTGGTATATAGGCAAGTTGATTGCATCTGCGAGATGGAGTGTAAGAATTAATTAACACTTTAGTTGAAATTCACAAAACAATGGGCACATGAGGTAACAGCAACAAGATGCAGCCCAACACTTCTATCCTCCCAAAAGCTGATCTCCCAAGCACTGGAGTAAAGAAATTACAGGCAAAGAACACAAAAACTAAATGATTAAGGTGTTTGAACTGATAAAAAAAATAAGCATAGCTATAAGACATCCAATGAGTTTAAAGAGGATGTAATTAAATAGGGACATTAAATGATAAAATATTCAGTGAGTATAAATTGGCAGGATACAAAAAATAAATTGACTGAGTTTAACAGGACTATCCAAGTTATAAATGACCAGAAATTATGAAAACAACTAAGCATAAATTCATGACATAAAAAAATCAATTGAAAATAGGTAGAAAATGCAACCAATGTAGTTAGGCACTGTTGTGTGCACCTGTAATATCTGAACTTGGAATGCTAAAGCAGGAAGATCTCCTTGAATTGGAGGCCAGCCTGGAATACATAGTGAATTTAGGGCCAGCATTGACTATATAACAAGATCCTGTCTCAAGAAAAATAAAAGATACAAGCAATGTTAGGAAAGAGTATCATATCTTTAATAGTGTTTGAGGTAATAAAATGCCCTCAAAATTATTTTACTCAATAGTAGTCTAAGAAGAACAAGACACCATGGAAGCTGAATTGAAGGAGCATTCAATGTCAAAACCAATATTGTACTAATGGGAAGGTTACAAGAACCACAAAAGTTATCAGAAAATCATTTACCAAAATTATAGCAGAAATTTCTAAATTTAGAGAAAAAACTCAATTTTCAGGGTAATAGAATCTCAAATACTATGACCAAAAAAGAATTCCATAAAACATCATATTCAAAATTCTAGAAATTCAGCATGAACAAAAAATAGAAAAAGCTGTTAGAGAAAAATAGCAAGCAAAATACAGCTCTATCAAAATAAGAACAAATGTCTCGCCACAAACGTCAATGACTGTCCCAGCCCAGGTGCAGCGTGGGCCGGACCCTCTCCCACCCCCTTGGGCCTCCCCCCAACACTCCGCAGTACCTTCCCGACCCCACCCGCCGAGTAGGAATTTCTGCTGAGTTCCGGGAACCCCCAGACCTACTCCTACCCAGATCCAGGGCACAACATATTCATCCTCAAGAACAGCAACGGGAAGGAGCTGAGCACAGCAGCCAGACCTAAGCCAGACGCAGCTGGATAAGTCCAAACTTTGTAGAGCTGCACCTGAAATTCAGTACGTGCGAAGGTTATAACTACAGCAAAGATCTACAACAAAGGTCAGAAGACAGTACTACCCAAAATGAAGAGAAGGAACAAAATGCAACCTCAGAACCCAAGCCCACCCGTAACAAGTGCAGAGGACACTAACACAGAAAAAAGTGGAAAATACACACCTGAAAGCAATGAAACAACAGCTTTGGAAATAAAGAAACAGTTGCAGAAAGATATACAAGACCTCAGATTGGAAATGAAAAAAGAAATCCCTGAATTAATAACATCTGCACTAAAGAATCAAATGCAGAAACATATGGAAGAAA